CTGTGTGGTGATGGGCTCTGGCCCCAAGCTCACCCTCCGCAATCACCCTGGTACTGCCCCGCTACTCCCCATCCAGGGCTTAATTTGTCCCCAGGCTTGCTGGGCCTGAGTATGTCTGCTGTGAAAAGTGATATTTGTATGTTTAATATCACCTTTCACAGCAAACTTACCAGCGAGCAAGTCTTTTTTTTAAAAGCAACCGAAAGAAACAATAAGAAAAAGACAAGAATGTACAAAGGACCTTATTTATGTTTCTATTTTGTTTAGGTCCAGTAAAGAATAGAGACAACTCTACATTATTTTTATTACTGAGTCTGCAAAAAATTACAATGATTTGGACATGGATATGTGGATATTTATTTTTCCTAAAGTTAAGTATTTTAGGAAAAATTGTCAGAGAGGCCACCAGCAAGACTCGGTGGCCGCACTCTGGCTCCACCAAAAAATTTATCGTGAAAACCCCTTATGCTGAGAGGTACTAGAGCAGTGGTTCTCGAACTTTTGTACTAGTGCCCCCTTTCACATAGCAAACCTCTGAGCGTGACTCCCCCTTTATAAATTAAAAACACTTTTAAATATATTTAACACCATTATAAATGCAGGAGGCAAAGCAGGGTTTGGGGTGAAGGCTGATGGCTTGCAACCCCCAGTTTGAGAACCCCTGTACTAGGGACTGCAGTCACAAAGCTCTTTGAGATTGGGTGTGAGCATGCCTTTCAATTAACAATTGTCAGGATGAGTTAAGCAGAAGCCCTCTACTTAAGACAAAAAGGGATTGTGAATTTGTCCAAGAGTTTGGGCTGACGTGATGGTGATCTTTTGCTGCGTGGTGTTTGTATAGGAGCATGTGGGAAGGCAGAAGAGGAAAAGCAAGCAAGCTAGGTATTAACTGGTGAGTGCCATGTGGGATCCTAGAAAAAGCTAGACAATGACTTTTGGGGTCTGTTCAGTTTGCTAAAGAGACTGGGGTCTGTAAGCTAGTGAACTGTTCCTCTTGTGCCTGGTTCTTCCTAGACTCAGAGAAACAGGATGGTGTAGAGTCCTTGTAAATAAACAAGACTACATCCAAGAAAATACCATACTCCATCAATGTGTTACCAGCTAGAACATCCCCAAAGCCCCAAACTTTGACTAGACACTCAGGTCAAATGCTTCTAACAAACCTATCCTGTAGAGCAATATTAGGTACGTTTGGAGTTAGAATATACAAGGACTCTTCCTTGCCAGCCTGAAGAAGTGTTCAAATGTTAAGTTCCTATATCTGTTAGAGAGTTGCCCTTACAGGAAAAGAGCTGGACTTTTTGGTTGAATAGGTCAGATGGCTCAATGGTGACTTACATTACACACACACACACCCTAAAACCACTAGTTGATACACAGATAACTTCCTCCTTGCACATACTATAATTTTGTTTCACAATGAAAAATGTTTGAAGGCTATGACTCAACAGGCCTAATTTGATTTAGTGCTGCCACTTAAGGAGGGCTGTCAGCTGTAAATTTTATTTTCTCCTTATCCTGATTGACTAATTAACTTATGTGGAGACAAATGACATTAAAATAAGCAAAGCTGAGAAAAGGGTAAGCTCTAGCCAGTTTACAGTAGCAAGCAAAATAAATTTTAAAAAATGGTAGGGAAATGATTGCTCTGGGGAATCTCCGTTTGCAATTGCAAGTTTTATTTGTACTATACTTCTTCCTTTCAAAGAATTCTCATTGTTTATTTTATTCAAAACTAAGAAAGCAGATATTAAACTGATGACAGCTGGCGGGGGGGGGGGAAGAGGGTGTCAGGGAAAAGAGGTCACACTTACCTGAATGCATGTGCTTGATGATATATTCAAATTTTGCTTCAACATATATAGTCAGAAAAAAATGAACATGTGCCAGTGTATACAAAGTCTTTTTTCTTTAGTATATTTGCATGTAACTTGTGATAGAGATTCACATAATTCTTAATGTGTTACAGCTGGGTTTTTCTTGTGGGGGGGAAAAAAAGTAGTCTTTGTAAAAAGACTGAACATTTCACCAATCTTTCACTACAAGCTTTTACAGGTTTGTAGACTGGTGAAGAGTTGTTTGAATTCCATAGCAGATAGGCAGCTAAGTAGAGCTATTCAATGCTTTGAAATTTAGAGATGAAAAATGCAGTTATTCATTTAACTAAAAATGGTTTACTAAGCAAGAATCAAAATTAAAGCCAGCAGTTAATATTAATATTATAGATCAGTAAGTCAAATATAGTTACTCGATTGCTTGTTAAAAACTGCTTTTTTGTGTATGAATTTCTGTGTAACAGTAAAAATCATGATCGCTAGTAAAAACTGTTACTCATGGGTTACAAGCCCATAGTATGAGAAATTATTTCTTTTAAGGACCAACCTAGACCATACATTATTTATATCTGTAAGAGATGTTATTACATTCATTGGATGAAAGAGAATTATACATTTTCAGAAAGCCTATGATTCCATTTGGGGTTTCTGTAGCCATAGTAACATGTAGGTAGCAGAGCTAATTTTAGCCTGTGGTTTTATTGTTCCAGTATTAAAGAATTGGTTCCAAAAATATAATCCTGGCCATTGATGTAATTCTAGAATATTGGCCTTTTCCTTGCGCATTTAAAAGCAAGTCACGTGTAGGAGCCTTCTGACCATAACGTACCCACCTAACACAAAACACATTCAGTATAAAATGCCATAGTGTATATTGGGGCCATAGCCAAACCAGTACCTGGAATGTTCTGCACCACAAAACATAAATTAGAATAAAGATAAAGCAAGCACAATGATTAAAGAAACTAGACGACAGAAGTGACCAGCTCAGAAAAACATGCCTCCCCAAACACACACAAAAAAAGTGGAAAAAAAGGTCTGTCAAGTGATCCTAAAAATACTGACCAAACTGAAAGACTGCTCAAACACAGACAAATAGGCTTTGGTGGATACCTTCAGGGAAAACACTCTACAGACTGGGTTTCTAAACCAAGAAGTTCTTGCTCACAGCCCAACCAGACCTTGAGAGAAATAAAGGCCAACCCAATTAACTCCAAATGCATTAGAAAGACATAGCAGGACAGAATTTTAATACATTACCATAGAATTAATTTTTCATAGTAATTAAAGATGGAAGGGACTTAAGTCATCAAGTCAAGTGCCCACCACTAGTATATGCTGTTTAAGTAAAGCAGGTTGATTGAACACTGTATTTGCCTATGTCCCTTTAAAAATTCTATGTAGCATTACAGGAACAATACAGATCTTAACTTCCAACTGAAAAATGCAAATACAGTAAAATTCTGTCAACTGAGGAGTTATACATTACCAGAAATCCAGTCAGTCAATCTATGCACTACCAGTATTGTTAGTGACTCAATAAGTTTAGCCCAAAGTACCATGTTAATACTAACATGTGGAGCAGGGAGCTAGCAAAATACGTATACTAACAATGTTTTGAAAAAGGCTGCAGTAATTACCTCATTCAGTGTTGAGGATTAATTTGTAAAGCACTTTGAGTTGCTCTGTCAAAAGACATTGTAGAATGTCAACAGTCTTAAGCTGCGTAAATATTTAAGATTAAGCATTGACCAGTTACATTTAATTGAATTTAAATAATCCAAATAAAGAGGAGCTGTTTTGAAACTTTCCACAGGACACAGAAATAAGCCTAGTTCTGTGTTTTTAACTTGTTCAATTTGCTTTTGAGGCCTCTTTGTTTCTGAAAAACTGCACATAATTTGAATAAACTGGAAGACTGCATAAATCTTGTATTTTCATGTTGAGTTGCAGCCCACCGGGATAACATACAACACTTCATCTTGTTCTGAGTGGCTAAGGTCCTTATAGATCAAAACAGAGCAATGGACTCTGAAGTCATTTTTATTGGCCACAGCAGTATAATTAAAAATAAAGGCAAACTCATTTAGCCATGTTTCACTCGTGGACCAAACTTAATGAGTTTTTGCTTACAAAAAAAAAAAAGTTGGACATCTTCCTTCTCCCATGTAATAAATTGATAGTGGCTCTGATGGAAGATAAGAGTTGCTTGTCAGATCCTCTGACAGGTGTACACAACGAAGAACCTACACTCTCTTCCTCCCTTCTGTCTGGCTCAACTTAGTTTCTATAGTGTTCAGTTGAAGCACATCAAACTTACACAAATAGTGGGTATTTGCAGAAGCAGCAGCTCTAACATCAAAACCCTGCAAAATGCCACTGATTCTCCCATAAAAACCAGACTCTGGTTAGTGAAGGAGAGATGCTGGAAGATAAAGCAAAACCCTCTGCTGAAAATGAGGATGGACATGCCTCTAGAATTTAAGAATGGAGAAATACAGTAGTAAGAGCAAAAGTGCATAAGAATCTTGATATCTCCAGTATTCCTGTTACAGAGATTGGGAGTAGGTGGTGGGGTGGGAAGGACAGTTATTTGGATACCAATGGCTTTTCAGGATATATTTATGTTTTACTATAAATCATCCTGCATAACAACAGTTATGGACACTTTATAAAGGTATGTATGTACTATAAATGGCATTAGATCAGTCTGTTTTCTAAACTCAACATGCACAGGATGAACAGATTGGTATGCAATCAAGAAAGTTTTCCCCAACACCATGCTGGCATAAACCTTTTAGGTTTCTTTATCTCCCTCTGAAGCACTGAATAGGGACTACAAAAATCAGGTGGGCATATCTTTCCTGATCAAAATTTCCTGCGGAGGCAGGCAGGGGGGAGACAAAGCATGCAGAGAAGCAGTAGACTTCTCTAATCCAAGTCTGTATTTCTCATTCCAAAAGTCCTCTCCATGGCACATCACAATATCTACCCCTCCCCCACTTTTTTAATAAAGCGTAGAATTGGGAACCATTTGATAAAAATGGGTTTTTTTAAGACAGGGAAGGAACCATTTAATAGTTGCACAATTACACAAAATCACAGTGTTTAAAGAATTTGAGCCCAAGACATTGTACATACTTAAAGAACAAAGGCACCCCGAGCAAGTTTTCACTTGTTTTATTTAGGTGAATGTACATATGGGTCTACATACTCAATGAAAACTGTAAATCATAAAATAATTTGATGACTTACTTTGGAAAGGAATTAGCAGTACCATCAGTTAGTGGAATAATAAAAAAATGCCTTTATGGGGCATATATATTAAAAGGAATACCACTACCAAATGCCTGGATAAAATGCCAAATAAATTACTACAGGGAATGAGAATGGCTTTGTAGGATGGGTTGGAGTTTTCAGAAATTTAAAAAAAAAAAACCACACAATTTTTTTTGCTAAATACTTTGACGATTAAGGTTACAAAAAATACAACGGAATAAGATACTGCATAGTATTTTAATTAAGATAAAGAAATTGATACTGAGCTGTGTAAAGTAACACAACATCTCTGCTTCCATTTCATTTCTGAATAGAGAAATCTAAAATTTAAAAAACAAAAAATAGGCCTAGAGTAATTCTCTAAAAGACACACTTTGGGTTGAACGTATAGTACTACGAAAATACATATCTTCCATTCTATTTAATAATTTACTTCAGTTAAAAAGTTGTGAAATCCTCATCACAAGAAGCTTATACAAATTCATGACTTTAGTAAATTAACAAAAAAGATTAAACATTTTCTTTTAAACAAGGTTTAGCCCTGTTGTAACAAATATACAAGGGGGGGGGGGAAGACTACATTTGTATGAAGGAGTACAAATTTACACACATTTTACAGCGACTTATACCCTACACATCTACAAAATTCACAGTTATAATACAAGCAGTACAAGGCTGAGAATAAAGCTGTTCGATACCAAAAAGTTTTCTACTTTAAAAAAAAGATAAACAGGAAGAGTTTCAAATTTCTGCACCAACTTCAAAATTCTAAATCAGACCAAACTGTGCTCACACAAACACCCTTCAGCAAACGCATACTGCTTTCCTGGTCTGGTGGAACAGCGAATTGCCAAGCTTCTTCTGCCCCCTCAGGCTTCGCCGCATGCTGAGCTTGTTTGAGTTTTTGCGCTGTGGAGTTGTGGACAGGCTTTCTGGCTGGACACTAATGTTTCGACTCAAGCTACGTCTTGGCTTCTTCAAAGCTGGGCCGGAGTTAGATTCTTCTAATGTCCGTTTAAAGTTTCCTGTAGGTGTCCTCTCCGCTTCTTGGGATTTTGTTTGGCCATTAGGAGACATCTTTAAGCTTTTTTGGTCCACGCTTGAATTTGCTGAGTTGGAAGGGGAGAGGGTAACTGACAAGCCATTGCTGTAAGATTCATGAATCCTCAAAGCTAGTGTTTTGCTGCAGTTCTCCTCCTGTGGGGCTGGATCCCTAGAGGATGCTACCGCCAACGGTATACTGCTTTTAGCAATCTCACTGGACAGCTCGGAATATTTATCCAAGATCACATTGCTATGCATGAGAGAAGGAACAGGCTCAGAGGAGTTCAGACGTGGCCATAGATCCTCTTCTAGAAGCTGGGATTAAAAAAGAGGGAATTATTTATCCATAAATATCATTATTCCACTTGTGTTACCACAGACCATGGCTAAAGTATGTGGGTGAAAGATACTATACATGACAGCAGATACTAAAGCTTCTTGGAGACAGGTCTAACTCCAGATCCAGATGCAAAACACACCTGAACATTTTCAGGGTGGCGTTTAGGCTCTGAATCTAAACTTGCCAGTTTCAGCCCTCCAACCTTACGCAAGTATGTTAATTTCCATCAGTAAGTCTATGAGGACAGGTCTGCCATTTCAGAGACCTGTCTCGCCTTAGTTGGCATACGTGTTTTCATTCTCACTGGCGTAAAGTTAATAAGTCACCGAACTATGGGACCTACTTGCATCTTTCATTACTTCGGAATACCAACACTGAAAAGGATGTCTGCAGTGAATGCCGTGCACTCCCATTCTTCATCAGTATCCTCTGCAAAATGAAGATGCTACTGCTCTCTTTCTAATGTTTTGTGAGATTGTTTGCAAAGTGCTTTGAAGATTAAAAATGTCCTTGAATGGCCAAGTATTATCAGGCTCTTTCTCCTGACCTGGATTACGTTTAGACTTTTTAGTTACTGCTGAACAAGATATCAGGTGCCTGAAGCAATGCTCTGTTGCTGGAGGAGTTCTAATGGTTTACAAGGAGATGGAATACGGGCCTCCCCTGGACAATACTATACTAACCTCTGAATTTGTTTGTTGCTTCCAATCCTTCTAGCTAAGTAACACACTTATTCCTTACAACTGGAGGAAGACTGAATAAAAGTCAGGCCCTGGCCTTTTAAAATGATCTTTATTCAGCAAAGTAAATTTGGCGGTTTTCTGCACAGCAAAGTTATTCTGTAATTTGAAGAGAGATAGTGTGGTATAATGCACTGGAAGCCAGGAATTCCCCAATTCTACTCCTGGCTTCATTGCTCTCTGTGACCTTCGGTAAGTCGTTTCTATCTCAATTTCACCCTCAGGAAAATAGGGAAGACTTCACTATCTCACAGGAGGGCTGTAAAAACTGCTATTTATGCAGTGCCCTTTACATGTAAACGTTGACACAATTATTAAAAGATTCAAATTGTGGAGAAATTCCTGGTTATTCAATGAGAGACCTTCAAAGCATTTTTTCAAGGCCACATCATTTTATGTATTACCGATGTAAGGACAATAACCTAATGACTATCTTATTCCAGAAACTGTATTATACTGCAAACTAAATGCACCTGCGGTTACTGCACTTGAAACTGAACGCACTGAAATAATACAAGAGATCTCAAAATTTAAGTATTTTTGAAATCAGACCTTGAGCAACCATAGCCCAATTTGAAGTCAAAGGGGCCTGTAGTTGCTCAACACATCTGAAAAATTAGACTCTAAGCTTAAAAAAAAAAAAACAAAAAAACAACCACACACTTCAAAAGACAGGCTGGAATATCAAAGGGATTTTTTTTCCAGTGAGAAACCTGGACATTACTGAAAGATTATTTTAATCTTTGGTGACCCAATATAAACCAAATTTAGATAGTTATTGCACAAAAAACAAACAAAAAGATAAATTCAAACTTTTGAGATGCTGTCAATAGAGTTGATGACAGATATTTATGGACAGTACTTTAGAAGTTATTCTTTCACTCAGTTCTAGTGACAACCCAAAATCCCATGTCGTTTACACATTCGGAGGTGCTTTGTGAACTGTTGCCTAACAGGCTCAATTATACTCTTGAGACTGGCTCTTTGTTAGACTTTTAATCTGGCATGTCTTGCTATGCAAGATCCTCACGCTATGGCTCTCATCACCAATAGCCTTGCTCGATATGGATAGCTGCAGCAACACAATGATTTGGGGGCACTAAAATGGAAAAAGTTAGGAGAGGGAGTACAAGGAAATTTGGGGTGGAGTGGGGTAATGAGAAGGAAAAAAAAAAAAAAGAACGGAGGATGTGGACCAGTCAAAATTCATTCCTTGGCAATCAGCTGCTGACAGCAATAGGAAATCATTGATAGTTTTTTTTCTTTTTTAAACCTTAGGAATCTCTCAAGGATGAATCAGTAACAATTGGCACCAAAAAGATCTGACTCAGAAACAAGGGGATACTCTTATTTATTAATTAATTCAGGAATTTGGCTTTGGCCTCCATTTTATTTCAGAGAGAACAATTTCAGGTTTCCCACTCTTATTTATTAATTAATTCAGGAATTTGGCTTTGGCCTCCATTTTATTTCAGAGAGAACAATTTCAGGTTTCCCAAGTATGGTTAAGACTCAAGGTTACAAATGCATCTTTAGTTCTTTGAAGATAACAGACAGTGTTTGTTCTTATCAATGCTCTCCACTCTTACGCTTTGTCTGCACTATGCACCTTTTTAGCGACATGGCTGTGCCGCTACAGCCAAGCCGCTAAAAGGTAAGTAGTGTAGCAGCTGTTTGTTGGCGAGAGAAAGCTCTCCCACCAACAAAAAACTTCCACACCCAATGAGCGGCGGTAGCTTTGTCCTGCCAACAAAGCACTGTTCACACGTGCTTTTTGTTGCAAAACTTTTGTCTTTCGAGAGAGTGGTGTTGTTTTTTTAACACCTCTGAACGACAAAAGGTTTGTCGTTCGGTTGCCAGCGTAGACAAAGCCTTAAAGGCCAAGCCATTTCCCCCCAAGACATAATCCCCAAGAGTAAAATGTAAATAAAAGGAGTCATCATCAGTAACCTCTTGCCATTGGCTGACATCTAACACCCATGGCATGCACAGTTTTGATGATGGATCTCAGGCTGGGAAAAAGGCAACTGCAATCCATGAAAGCATTAACTATCTGGCTAATTCAGATCAGGTACTTCCCTCTGGTTTTAGGTATTGTGATACTGATCGACCTTCTGGTATGGTTATTAACAGGAGCAAAGACGGATGTTTTTCAGATGGGAGATAAATACTTGTAGTCTCTCTCCATACATGAAAATGCCAGATTCTTTACATAAAGGAACTCTTACTTAGAAGGGACAGAAATAAGCTCTACAGGAGTAAACAGACCTGAATTCCTAGTGTGACGTCTCACTTCCTCATGTGGGATAAGTGAATTTCAAGACAATAATATGACCACCACTAGACACCACTTTCACAAATGGATATTCACATCTAGGATCCTCCCCTCCCCAGGTTCACTCTTGTACCATGATTTCTTACAAATAAGCTGCATCCCAGGAAGAATTTGGCCTGCCCTACTTTTACATTACCATGTAGGAGCAAGGCTCCAATTTTTAAACCCCCTAAATTATGTAATCTGTGGCTGTCTCCCTAATATTTCCCCACATACATTTCTCAGAAGAAAAGTTATTTGGAAATAATTTTGTGGCTATTGTGAAAGTGCAACGTTTACTCTGATGGGAGGAATTAGTAAATACAGGCAAAAGTCAAACATTACTGGAGTTATGTATACTTCTGCAACACACTGGTTAAAAGCGACTGGACACAGATCTGAAAAAATATGTCTTAGAAAAAAGGGATTTGTCCACTTCTTGGCATGCCAAAATATTGGTTGTGAATCTATACAAATGACTTCCATTTAAGACTGAATATTTGAGATTTAAAATTTTGAAGGACATAGTAAAAACCAATCAGTTTCTCATGGTCTCATAATACAAGAACAACTCAGTCACTTTAAGTGAAGAGCAGGTAAATGTATATACCAAATAAAATACTTTGTATACTGGTAGAATTCACTGTCAGAGTCACATAATGGATTTTTTAAAAGGCCAGAGTATGATCACCACAGGGATCAGGAAGCAATTCTCTTCCCTGCTCGTCATGTACAGCATTATACAACTGGGTGGATTATGTATGGTTTGGGCAGCCGGGGTTGCCTGCTTCTGGAAGATCAGGTATTAGTCATTGCAGAGGGCACAAGTCCAACTTTTACGGTTTGAACCAGTAGGGAAAATTCTGTTCCTCATAAGCTATTTTAATCCTCCCTCCAAAACTGAATTGGTTTCTTTTTAAAAGGCTGCTGTTTATCACTGAAGCAAGGCACAATGCAGTCTTCATTTACCCACGCTCCGGTTCCCGTGCCAGTTCATTTTAGGTTTAAAGGAATTTGAATTTCATAGAAAGAAAATGAGTCAGAGGTGCCGCCTGCGCTTGAATTTTACCCAGAAGATTTATTTAGAAGCAATTTGCTATTTAAATGGAAAACCTGGTTGGCCAACCATTACATTAACCCGAGTGTGGAAATCTGCTCTTCTCACCATTACTGTGTCTCACTGAAATGAAAAGCTCCTCCCCTGCCCATTGCAAAAAAGCTACTTATTAGTCAAACCAGAATAATGACCTGAACACATAGGGAAGCTCCTTTTTGGGCTTTCACAAAAATACAAACAAAGGGACGCAGATGCAGAGTCATTCCATTTATTCTAGTCTGTCTAGAGATGTTTGTTTTTCCTTAAATGTTTCAATATTATTCTGATAGGACAGCTGCCCTGTTTTCTCTGTCTCTTTTTCCACTTCCTGCTTCCACTTTTTCCTTTCCTTCCACTTCTATACGGATTCTGTGAGAATAGATGGTATTTGTTACTAAAACAGCAACCTATACGAACGCTAAAAATTTTACTTGTGGTAGCTGTGTATTCATTTCAGTTTTAAAAGAAATCAAGTGGGATAGGAATGAATTATCCTACATAAAATAAATATTTTTAAAATTAGAAAATAAAATTGTAAAGCAGGACAAGAGGGGAAAAAAGTGTACTAAAAATGGAACCAGCAAATTTAATGGTAACCATTCTACGCCTGTGGCCAACCATCAGGGCCCTGCTAAGAAAAAGAGGCCGTAAAGGCCTTGTAGAAATGGGGAAATTGACCAGAATGGCTACAGAATAATAAGCTATTCTGCTATAGCTCCTTGTGTGGACACACTGTTGTGGAATAAAAGTGAATTTTATTCCAGAATAGTTACTAATTATGAATTAAAGTCACTTTTATTCCAAACAGTGTGTTCTGGCCACATGGGGAGCTATTCTGGAATAGCTATAGCAATATAGCTTATTCTGCTGTACCCATTCCAGTTATTTTCCCTATCGAGACAATCCCTAAAACAAAATAAAAAGTTACCTTCATCTCAGTGCTAAACATCACTTTGAACTGTTAAAAGTAACAGTTTAGCACTTACCTTCCAGATGAAAGACTCATACATATCAAGGCAAATGTTCTAACATGTGCTGCATACTCCAAAACAGCAAGAGGACTTTTAGGAGGGGATTTGCAGTCCCTTAAAAACAGCCTAGCAGCTCCAGCAGAGAGCAGAAGGGCAGTTTGAAAATGACCATGAAAGGAATGACACTCCTCTTCTGAAGTTTTGACCCAGAGCTTCCATTGCTTTTTGGTATTGGTCTGACTATTGGAGCACAGATTTCTACACCACACAGAATGTACTGAATTTATTTACATTTATTTACGGAGGGCCGGGGGGATATTTAGAGTACTTATTTTAAATGCTAGTTCTGGGACATTTTCAAATCAACATGACCCAAAGTTTACTTGACAAGGGCTGGAAATAATTCAAAAGCTGTACACAAAAAAACACTGACTGAAAAACAGGAATAATTACAGTTCAGATAATCTCTCGCCACAGAAGACTTTGGGATTGCTACTCTTTTTTCAGTGGATTTTGGGTTCCTCCCATGCATTCTCCTGCTGCTACTGAATGGAAAAAACCCCACTTGCTGTTTTATTAGCTGTCTGTCTCTATATCAACCAAATGTTAAGTACTCTCATCCTAATCTTTGATTTTCAATTTTACTTTGCCTAAAGGATGGCTATTCAAAGACATTAGAGAACATCAAAGCACCACAGCTATTCAAGTTTGCGGAAACTGGCAATTATTGAAACAAACATCCACTCACAATTATACCCTAGTCTAACAACAAAATGGTAAAGATCTTCCAAAAACCTCCCTTCTATGTTAATGGACAAGGTTCTAATTCAAAGTAAGATCCCTGTAAAATAAGGCTCTCTCTTTTAATGAAGAAAATTTAAGTTGACAGATGCAGATAAGCTCTCCCAACCTGAAAATAAAAGTGCTTTTAAAACAACTAATCATTTCTCTGTTTATGTAGGATGGGGAAATTCAACTACTCATCAGGAAGAATGCTGTACACATAATTTAAATACTGACCTTTTTTAAACTAAATACACCAACCACCATTCTATCATTATAGACTGCAGTTGTTAGCATTCGACTGGTAATTAAAAAAGTGTCAAGATTTTAAGATTATGCAGAGACTTTGAATGTCCCCAAGTCCAGAGCTCGGACTTTACATTCTTGACTTATTTTCCCAGGACTAAACAACTGAAGAACGTATGGTAAAAGGAGAAGTGTATGATCTTTCTAAGTCACATAAGAAGGCTGCCTCTCTTAGCGAGAAGCAGGAGGTAGATGGAGGAATTAGCTATACATTTTGTGGGTTTCATTCTTAAAATTGGAATGGTTTGGAATTCTAAATAATTTACCTTGATAGGAGGGGTACAGCAGCGGGAGGGTGTCATCATGCTCATATCAGGACTGCTGTAGCAGGGGCCCTCTGCCAAGTTGAGATACAATTCCTCTTCATTTTCCCAGTTGCTCCGATTGTCCAGCACCGGCGAGATGCAGATTACAATGGCACTAGTATTATCTGCACGAAGCATGCGCTGCCTCCACCGGGCTAGTGCTCTGTTCACCAGCATTTTGGCACAAGACTGTCTGTGTTCTCCCTTAATGTTTAAAGCAAAAACAGAGAACACCCATCACCATTTTCTGTGATCATAAAGTGAAGAAATTATATGGCACAGGTTGCAATTCTCTACCTCTACATCATGGTGCTAAAGCATCAGAATTCAGACAAACCTGCATCTAGCAAACAGACAAACAGAACGGAGGTCAAAAACTGTTTGAATAAATTACTGTGCAAACACCAGTTACAGTGAAACTTTGTTCATGATGACATCACATGGAGGAAACTCATTTTACTAATTTTTTTTAAAAGGTAACTGAAGTTGTATTTGGACCTACTTATTGTGACTTGTCCATGACTTTTACTAAAAATACCTGTGACTAAAACATATGCTATCCCAGTAAGTTTACCATCACTGTAATAGCTCCATGTATGTTGTAGCAGTATAATTAAGTAATAAGACTCAATGATGCCACAATTGCATATGCTTTTAAGGAATATGTTACTGCAATAGAGTAACACAGCAAAAAAGTGAGTTAACAGCTACCATGTTACCTTAAAGTAGTTGACAACATCAACATGCCCTCACCATAAAATACTGTTTCTCCTCATGATCTTGGCACATAGAAATAGCATCTTGAGGTGGGATCATGTTCCACAGTCCATCGCTGCCTAGGATAATGTATTTGTGCTTCTGGGGATCAAGCGTATATACACTAGTGTCTGGTTCAGGAGACACAACAAATTCACCACTGTAGAAATCGTAGCTCCACAGATCACCTGGGGAAGGAGGAAAACAAGGAAAATGTTTAAAAAAAAGTCAGTCAAGGGTCATCATTGTCCCCTTATTACAGCAGTCTTCAACACCAACCTTCAGTGAAATGCCTGTAAAGTCTATCAATGCAACTCCCTTAGTGAGACACTCTACTTACGAGTTTTTGTTGTTGGTTTTTTAATTGCTCGTTTCTGGTAGTCCACTCTTTCAATAATGTGTTTTGATTGATTGATTTTTTTACTTCATTTTAAAAACATGTTTATAAGAGGTTCTCTACTTCCTGTTGACGTTTGTTAGGGTCTTTTCAGGAAGGGAAAAACTGACTCAATACATAGGAAACAATGAAACTGACTATACTCTAATACGTCAAATATGCTAAGTAAAACTGTTGCAAGAGAGAAAAGTGGATTTTCCCCATTCATTTCTTTCAGTTATAGTGATTTTAGAGGTTACTTGTAAAACCAGTAAAATTTTCAGACAAAAATGTGGTTTTCCAAATTGATCCCTTTAAATCAAGGAGCGCCATTATACTGTTATGCCTACATCTTCTTGCCTTCGCCTTTCAGGCCTGACAGCACGGTTTCTACAAGGCTAACCCCTACATTTCTTCTCTTGGACATTACCTGCCCTATATGTAGCATCCTATAATTGTAGAAACAGAATGAAAAGTAATTTTCTCATAAAAAGTATCCTCCACTTGATTCTAGTAAATAACTCCTTAGAAAGGCAACTGAAGGTTTGAAATTAACAGAGAATCCAATATAATATTTACTACCATTTTCCAGACCCTGGCAGGTCTCTTCCTGTATGCAACACGTAGCTTTAAAGTAGAAATTCATTCAATATCAGAGGGAAAAAGCATTTAGAATCTAAAGAACTCCATTTTAAAAGCAGGTTTTTCAGCTTGAGACTTCAAAAAGTAACTGTTTGTGTCCTTTTAACAGTTCTTTCTGACTCCGACATCTTCTTTCCCCACTCCAACGTGCCCCTTTAAAATAATAAAAATAAGCTTTGTCTCCCTGCTTCCTGGAGTAGGAACTTTTCCTTTCGCTCAGCTCGGCACTATCAACCAGTACAAAAGGTTTTTCAGAAACAGAACAAGGGATACTTCAAATCAATTACTCCACTTCACTATGGCAAACACGGATGGGCCATCCTCCTTAAAGAGCCAATTCACCTTCACAGCAACAGCAGCAAACATACACATGCTTCTACTAAATGCTAATTAAAAGCCTTGCCTACTTGAATAGAGGCACTCTCTCCATCAGCAGACTAGCAGAACAAAGCTCACTGGCCGGCAACAAGATGAAAATAAATACTGTCGCAGTCAAGCTGAGCTCCAGTGCACCAATTATTGTGCATGTATGTAATTGCCACTAAAAGTCTCCATAGAGCACGAGCTTTTGTTCAAATCTTGACTGCCATTGCCACAACAGATAAGATCTTAACTCCTCATTTATTTTATCATCTTTTTATAGCTATTTTAGAATCTGTTCCTGCCTCCTATTAAAGTCTTGCCATGGAAGTCAATGGCGGCATGAGACTGAAACATGGGAACAGTTGTTTTGCTTGATTGTTTCAACTGATCCTTGACAGATCACTATTGTTTTTGTCAGTATTACTTCTTTACTTCTTCTAACCAAACAGGAATAGTTATGAACAATTTTGTACAGTGATTACCCCCTACAGTGGCCTTGCATCCATAGCTAGACAGCAATTTACATTTCTACATTAAAAAAGTTGTTGCAGAAATTCAGCTATCTGGTTCCCAACTCCGAGTCAGTTACTTTGGATTCCCAGCAATGAGATGATGCCCTCTGCCCTCTTTCCTTCCCTTTTACCCACCCTGGGTCAGGACAGTCATCTACCAGAAAGAGGATGACTACCCACGCAGTGGTTAAAGATATATTGGATAATGCAATCCAATCAAGGTGTGTTTGGGTTTGGCCAAAGAATGCTCATCATACCCATTTACAATCACATTTCTAGTTGCACCTGTGAATTAATGGCAGTAAACTTGTTTTCAAAGTAGGAGACACAAAATACAAAGCCAGGTGTGTAGCAGATTTAACTCTACATAAATAAACAAAGGTGCATAATATTTACAGTGATTCAGACAGCTTAAATTTGTAACAGAGCTACTTTTCCTCCCTTTTACAATATATTAACTATATAGGCCAGAGGCAAAGAGTGGAGAAGTAAGGTGGGCACACACAGCAAGCTTGCTGGAAGTGTAAAAAAAAACTGCAAAGATTTCTAGGTGGTTTTGAAGAAGTATTCCTCCATCTCTGGAGATATTTAAGAGTAGGTTAGATAAATGTCTATCAGGGATGGTCTAGACAGTATTTGGTCCTGCCATGCGGGCAGGGGACTGGACTCGATGACCTCTCGAGGTCCCTTCCAGTCCTAGAATCTATGAATCTATGAATAGGACTTGTACCCTATAGGTGCTATAAATAAGGCTATGTTTTAGTCACGGGTATTTTTAGTGAAAGTCATGGACAGGTCACGGGCAGGAAACAAAAATTCAAATTTACTATATACCCCTAACTAAAACTTGGGCCGGGGAGCCACGGCTGCTGGGTGGAGGTGACCCGGGATTCCCGCCAGTGCTTGGGGGGGGTGGGGGGGGGGGAAGAGGAGGAGAGCAGCAGCACACGGCCCGGGACCCCTGCTAGTGCTGGGCGGAGGGCTGGGGGGGCTAGCAGGCTCCCTACCCGGCTCCAACCGGCATGTCCCTGAAGTTCCTAGAGGGAGGAGCAGCCAGGGGGGCTCCGCGTGCTGCTCCCACCACAAGCACTGGTTCCGCAGCTCCCACTGGCCGGGAGCTGCAGCCAATGGGAGCTGCAGCCAATGGGAGCTGCAGGGGTGATGTTTGCGGGCACAGGCAGCACACGGAGCCCCCGACCCCTCTGCCTAGGAGCTGCACGGACATGCTGGTTGGAGCTGGGGAGCTCCCCACCCCCAGGTAAGCACCCGCTGCACCTCAACACCCTGCCCAGGCCCTGAGCCCTCTCCCACACCCAAACTGCTGCTGCTGGCCCAGGGGCAGCTCGTCTCAGGCAGCCCCTAAGCCAGCTGCACCGGCTGCTGAAGTCACGGAATCCGTGACCTCCGCAGCCTTAGCTATAAGCAACCGATCTTGCCACCGGTAAGGGATCTGAAGACCTGATAGCTGCTAAATACTGAACTCCCACTGTGAATCAACAAGAGCACATGGCCTTCACAGGGTACAACGGCACAGTGCCGTTGTCCTGAAGCTCATTTTTATGTGTGTGGCATGTAACACAGCAGCATGTTGGAGCCTTGCTTCTTAAACAGGAGTCTCCCTTTCTACATTCACAAGCAAGTTTCTGGACAGCATGTCATAAGAGCATGAGACGGAGGGAGGGGACAGTGAAAGCAGTGTGGTCTAAAAACTAGAGTAGTGGACTGGGTGTCAAGACTTGTGGGTTCCATTTTCCAATCTATCTGGGACTTATTCTGTGACCTTGGAAATGTCACTTACCCCAGCCTTACAGATGGGAAAACTGAGGGGATATTTCTCTACATCCAAGATGTTATCATTAAATGTTTATAAAGCACATTGAGCTCCCCATACAGAAGGGGACCTGCTTTTTTTTAAAACTGTGTCAATAATACACCTTCACAATGTACATGTGCATTTCCTGCCGGTTTTTCTGTAGGTGCTATTTTACTTACATTCAAGAAGAGGGGCATCTTTAGAAGTGATGCTGAAGAATTACCATGAAGCAACAATCTAAGAATTTCTTTGCTCTGAGTGGTTTGTGTTTCAGCTTCGGTTATTTAATTATATAAGCGAGGTTCAGTGGTTGCATTGTGTACTTACCAATGGGTAATGTGGATTTTTTTTATTTCATTGTGCATGTGCAGAGAGCATATCACATTCATTACCTTCAGCACTGCGGGGGAATAATTTTAAGACAAACTTTCTTTTTCTTACAGCTGAGGGCAAAAGCAAAAAAGAAGGATTAATACTAATGGAGAGGAGAAGGAGCAGCAGCAGGAGGAGGGGCCCTCACTTTAATGACTTGGTTGGCCAATGAAAATGAGTGTGCATATCTGCCCATTCTAATGGATAGAGAAGCTTTTCAGTTTTCCATAGTTTAATATGCATGTTTCATTTTGATTATTAGAAACCTGTAAGTGGGGGAAAGGCTGGGACTTAAGGTGAAGAAAACATTAGGACAGGTTAACAGAACTCTAGAGCAGCGGTTCTCAAACTGTGGGTCAGCGGTTCTCAAACTGTGGGTCAGGGCTGGCGTTAAGACTTGCTGGGGCTCGGGGCTGAAGCAGAAGCCCGAGTCCCACCGCCTGGGGCTGAAGCCCAAAAGCTTCAGCCTTGGGTGATGGTGCTCAGGTTACAGGCCCCCGACCTGGGGCTGAAGCCCTTGGTCTTTGGCTTTCCCCCACCCCTTGGGCAGTGGAGCTCGGACGGGCTCAGGCATCAGTCCCCCCCGTGTGGGGTCATGTAGTAATTTTTGTTGTCAGAAGGGGGTCATGGTGCAATGAAGTTTGAGAACCCCTGCGCTAGAGAATCTAAAGCAAAAAACTTGCTCAAGGTAGTCTTTTCTCACAAAAACTTCCTTTTAACAGCTGTACCATTTAGCATGATCCATAGTTACATAAAATGCTTCAGTTCAATACAAGAGAATAACTGTATACATTAATTTGATTTTCTCTTCCCTTTTCAGGCACACAGATTTCTATGTTGGAGCTTTGTCTCTTATCAGTTCTCTTTTTCATAAACGCTAATTTCTTTATTCCTTGTTCCCTTTGAGGATCTAATTTCCCCATTATGTACAAACAGAATGGGCATTATGCTCACCATATATCATATAAGATACTCTTTGATATAGAGAAGATGTGGTATACTTAAAGTTAAAATGGACAGTCCGAAGTTACACACCCCGATACTACACCAATCATCTTAGTTTCAGTGCACGTGAGTGCTTGCATGTCACACCCATATGCCCAACTCCAC